GGGTACAGCAGTACCCGTTGAGTTTATCTATACATATACAAACCCTTTATATATTATACGATGCTGCAGCTAGGGTTTAGGGTTTGGGGTTTAGGGTTTAGGGTTTAGGGTTTAGGGTTTAGCGGGTTAGGGTTTAGAGGGCCATAAGACGATGTCTATATAATAGGGCCCCACAGCAAACTCCCTAATCAAACCTCCGCTGCTGCTGCTGCTGCTGCTGCTGTTGCTGCTGCTGCTGCTGCTGCTGCTGCTGCTGAGGCCCTGCAGCGTCGCTGCCACTTCGCGTTGGAACTGAGAGGAGGAGGGCCCCCCCCCAAGCTGCTGCTGCTTCTGCGGCTGCTGCTGCTGCTGCTGCAGCAGTAGCAGCAGCTGCTGCTGCTGATGCTGCTGCTGCTGCTGCTGCTGCTGCTGCGACAGCAAAAGGTCTGCCAGGGCAGTCAGCGGAGTGAGAGGTTGCTGCAACTGCTGCAACGATTCTCCTTTTGCTGCTGCTGCTGCTGCTGCTGCTGCTGCAGCTGTTGCTCCTGTTGCTTCTGCTGCTGCTGCTGTCTGCATTAGTGAGGGAAGAAGGTCCGTTTGCTGCAGCAGCAGCAGCTGTTGCTGCTGCTGCTGCTGCAGCTGCTGCTGCAGCTGCTGCTGCTGCAGTATAAACTCCATCTGCTGCACCAGGGGCCCCTCCGGGGCCCCCCAATTAAGGGGTTCTGCTGCTAGCAGCAGCAGCAGCAGCAAATGACGCAGCGACCGCAGCGGCAGCAACTGAAGGAGACAGAAAGGAGACAAATAAACAGCAGCAGGCCTCTGCCGCAGCAGCAGCAGCCTGCAACGCCGGCCCTTAACACTTTGCTGCTGCTGCTGCTGCTGCTGCTGCTGCTGCTGCTGCTCACTCCCTGCACATCCACCACCACCAGTCCCACCACCTGCTCCACCTGCTGCTGCTGCTGCTGCTGCTGCTGCTGCTGCTGCTGCAGGGGCCAGCAGCACCTTAGTAAGAAGAGCAAAACCCAAAGCAGCAGTAAGCGACTGTCTACACAGCCGCGCCGCCTCCATCCCCGTAAAGGCCTTCAAGGGGCCCCCCTGGGGGCCCCCCCTGTCGGCATAGGGGGCCCCGGTGGGGGCCCCTGGAGGGGCCCCAGGGGGGGGGGGGCCCTGGGGGGCCCCCAGGGCCCTGCTGCAGCTGATGTCAAATGCTGCAGCAAGGGGGGCCCCCCGTATGTGGGGCGGAGCGAACTGCTGCAGCCACAGAAGCAGCAGGGCCCCCGCTGTCTCCTCTAGGGTAGCAGCAAACGCATGCAGGGGCCCCCAATGCATGCGAGGCCCCTTTGTAGACTCTATGCCGCAGATATTCCTGCTGCTGCTGCTGCTGCTGCTGCTGCTGCTGCTGCTGCTGGTGTTGGTGTTGGTGTTGTTTTCGCTGCTGC